CCACTACGAGTGCTGCTGGAAAACGGAAACACCAAAACCGTGTTCAGTGAGAAGTTGGCTAGGCAGTCATCGGAACAAAAGACTGTCACCCATCCAGAAGTAGCTTGGTACATCTCCAGTCTGCTGTAAAAGCAGAGTCGAAGACCATAGCCGACTCCAAAATAGTGACTGAAAGGAGCCAGTGGATATCAGCAGCTTCTTCCGAACTAATGGATGCACGTGAATGCATCCCTGCAGGCTCTGAGTACAATGAAGAGCGAGCGCAACTTAAAAGTAGACTGATGAAAAGTCTGCGCAACGATCGCGAACAGTGGTGGGCAGTGAAGGCTAAAGAGATGTAAAAGACAGCGGCGATCGGTAATAGTAGACAGTTATTTAGACTTATTAAGGAGACTGGGGGAAAAGGTCAACTGCGGTTAGTGAGGCTATAGCGGAGAAGGACGGGTCTGCGATTCACTCGATGGGCAGAACACTTTGAGGAGCAGTTTGACTGGCCTCCAGCCACCATTGCATTGCCCGCTATCCAGCCAGATCCTGAATGGGACATAAAGATAGGTCCCCCAACACTAGAAGTTGAGAAAGTGGTAGGTAACCTGAAACGAGGAAGGGCAGCAGGACTAGACGGACTAACGGCTGAGGTATACAAGAATGGTGGTAGAGTGCTCTTAGTCAGGCTAACGGAAGTGTTAACCAGTATATGGGAATCAAATACGATCCCCTCCGACTGGTCTAAATCACTGATTGTCCCAGTCTCCAAGAAAGACGAGAAGTCCTCTTGTGATAACCATAGAGGAGTCAGCCTGACGAATATAGTATCCAAAATCCTAGGTTCTATAATTCTCCGACGTCTGAGTGGAGCTTGGGAAAAGCAAGCCCGAGAAAACCAGACAGGCTTTAGACCCGGCCGTGGATGTATCGACCAAATATTCACACTGCGCCAGGTCCTGGAACATAGGCACGCTTACCGACGCCCGACAATAGCTGTATTTCTGGACTTGAAGTCGGCATTTGACTCCATTGATCGAGAAGTCTTATGGCAATGTTTGTCAGTGAAAGGCGTGCCGAGTAAATACATCACCTTATTGGAAGCTTTCTACTCGAACACTAGTGGGCATGTTAGAGCCTATGACGAGTTGTCTAGGGAGCTACACTCATCGAGTGGTATCCGTCAAGGATGCCCACTATCTCCATTCTTATTTAATTTTATCACAGATATGCTTATGGAGGTTTCCCTCTCGTCACCTGACTACACAGAGGTTGACCCAATCACAGGTGAATTTTCGTTAGATCTAGAATATGCAGATGACATAGTCCTGTTAGGTGAAGAGGCTGACAAGATTCAGAGTCTTCTGAACACTTTGAGTGGGAATTTGAGAATGTTTGGGATGCGGTTTTCACTACCCAAATGCAAATTTTTGCTCCATGACTGGTCTTCAGCAGTACGGGGGCTAACAACAGAGAGTGTGTCGACACACTTAACCACTTCACTTACCTGGGAAGTAGAACCAATTGTAGTGGGTTAGTTGCCGATGAGATCTCTGCACGGATACAAAAGGCTCGATTGGCTATTGCCAATTTTCGCCACCTATGGCGCCGCCGTTATATCCGATTGTCTATTAAGGGTGGCGTGTACTGCACCTGTACAGCAGTCCGATCTGTTCTACTGTGTGGCTGTGAGACATGGCCATTGAAGGTGGAAGACATGAGAAGGCTGGCTTCAAGTGTTTGGACACCGTTTTCCTCGTAGTATAGGTCGTACTGCGTGGTGTCACCACGTGAGTAAAGCATAAGTCAGACGCAGAGTTTTATGGAGAAGAGGTAAATCAGTTGACGAGTTTGTGAACCTTCATCGGCTGAGATGGTTGGCTCCGACACGTGTCACGTATGCCTAGTCGCCGATTGCCTCGTCACACAATATTGGTCGAAGTAGATCCAGGTTGAAGAAAGGCCTGAGGTGGCCAGACTAGAACATGGCACCAATGTATGAAGTCTCTGACTGTTGGTGTGAAGCGTATGAGGTGATGTAAACTAGGTGGTTGGGGTCGGTGGTACAAGAGGAACCAGTGGTTGGGGACTCTAGGTGATATGGTTGAGAACCGATGTCAGTGTTGCAGATGTATACACACATTATCCTCATCTTGACGACGCTATACTGAATCTCACCATTTTGTCATTCTTCCTTCCTCTCTTTTCGTACTTAGTATTTCTTGTGACTGAATTATTTTATCTTCATCTTTGACCTCAGTGCCTTTCTACTTGATGTACTGATATGAGTTGTGGCAACTTGGACCGTTACGCAGTAATGACTAGTCCTATGTTGATATTGATTGATTGATTGTTTCATCCACGCTGCTATTTCATCAGTCACCAATCTGTGAAATATCTGGTTTTTTGTCAAAGGTATGCTAATTGCCTGTGGGGCCTCATAGAGACGTTTGAAATCAGCGTTTAGACTTTTTATGAAAGTGGCACAGATGTACTCCTTATCATTTTCAAACTTGAAACACTTTATCAATTTGCATTTATTCATCCACTATATAATTTTAGTTTGTTTATTTTTTCTGTGAAAGGTATGGTAACTTTAGATATCATACTTCTGTACACTGCTCTTTGTTGATCTGCCTGCTTGTCTGTGAACAACGAGAGACCAGTTGGATTGTTTCTTAGTGTTTTACACACCGTCCTATCCGTCCCCCTATTGACTGAATTTTGTCAGGTTTTGCTTATAATTGACTTTCTCACGGTTGTCCCAATAAATCTAGACGACTACCTACTCTTGCATATTTCTTCTCATTTGTTCATTTGTTGATCCTCGCTATCTGACTAGACATTCACTTACAAATGTCGGTTGAACAAGAATTAGATGTAACTGAAGAAAATGAATGTTAACTGTTCACGTTCATTCTCCATTCTCTTTGTATATTTGTTTTTTAATTCGTGTCACTAAAAATGATCATTTTCATCCTGCTTTGACTCTTTTATGATATCACTTCTGGTGCAATCTTTCCACTACAGGTGTCTGTCGGTATTATTGACTTTTCATAAGCTTGACAGCTAACTACTCATTGCCAACTACTCTTTAGATATAATTGAGAGCGTATGGATATGGCAACCCAAATATAGACTTACATTTATTGTATGAGGGTTGGTGTGTGTAGTGTAAGTAGATGTTGTTGTAATTGGACCTATGATTCAGTCACTGGAGATTGAGCGTCTTTATCTATTGCTGGAAGTTACATTATTCACGGTGGTTGTTAGATAGTAATCAGTTGTAATTTAGCTTAAAAAACTAAAATATCTACTTTGGACTGTTTGTACACGTTGACAGTGCAATTTACCTACAGACTTCAACACATTTATTGCATTGCAATCTGTTGCAAATGTCGTAGGTTTCTTTTAAATAACGGAAATTTGACTCCAGAATTGAGCAGTTACTATTGACTTCCATTATATGCATTTATACTAGTGTTTACCGGTTGTTGACTTGTACTATATTATCTGTACGTATACATGTTCAGTCATCTAAATGACAACATATTGATTCATGTTATCATCTGTCATTTACTATAGAATTCCGACTCTTGAACGCAATTGTCTACTGAAAGATATTAAGTTGTTTTGTTAATCTAACAAATGCTGTAATTTTCCTTTTAGCTTTCAGAGAACTACTTTGAAACACCCTGTAAGTATGTTAATTTCTGGAAAATGGTAATATTAGGCTAAAATTGCAAGTCGTCATGCTTGACTTATGGAAACATCTCAAGACTAAATGTAACTGCATCATCGCATTTGGTTTTTCTGATCCTCTTGTTCGAAACTAATGATTTCGTGTCAGCATATATCTTCATTTTTATATTCAGCGCTTCACATGTTCAAAATTGATTAGATCACATAGTGACTTTACCTTTTCGACATTACTTTTCTAGGTAGCTGTCTGATCACTTTGGGTCAAATTTGAGTCGCAGTGTCAGTAACTCATTAAATACTCAAGGTATCACTACCCCTGATATTCCTAATCACTGTAAATACCATTACCAATAGGCACATGATTCTACATCACTAACTTTGTGTTTTTCATCCTGAATGATTGGATTTTTATTCGAAGAGTTACGCAGTAAACTTCTCAAGCAGAGTTAGTATCTGTTATTTGGTTGCATGCAATCGGCAGAGTGCAGTGCCCCCTGTCAACAACCTTGAGGAGGCTAATTTTACCTTTAGATTCAAACTCGGATCACCCAGTTATGCAGTCAGGAACGTTACCACTAAGGTATTCTAGCCCCCAATCGACCTCCTGTTGGACTCACTCTGATATATTGATTCCTTCGCTGAAGCGTATCCAATCTCATTTTGTTTAGTTCTAAGTACTGGTCGAATTCCACCTATCACTTTGCAATGTGGTCATCTAACTCGGAGACTCGGGGCTGCATACTTCCCTTGCTGGTGAGTGTCCAGCAAGCACAAACACTAGACCCAGGGTTTCCTACCGATGGATAAAACTTGGTCAGCACTAGGGACCAGACGACATGGAATTGGTTGCTCTCTAAAGATCAGTCAATATATACAGAGTTAAAATCTGTTTATCCACCTTTGTTGGTATTTTTACCCCACTTGTGTTGATTTGTTTCTTGTGTAGTTTTCTACCTTCTTCTGCTCAGTGTTTTACCTGTTCGTTTTAGACTCAGTTTAAGTGGATGCATTTTTATGATGAACTTTGTCCAAATCAACCCTTCGCCTGTTCATTCAAATATTACCAGATTTTAAGGACAATTTTTCTAAATCTGGGTAATACTTTGCATGTCTTTTTGATTTTGAAACTAGGGTATAATTGATATACTAAGTTCAGAGATCGGTCCCGATAGAGTCGGATGTAGCGTAATGAATTTAGTTGATAAAAATGCCTTGGTTCTTCGGGTTTCATAGGTTGTCTTGTACTTGTTAGACATTTAATTTCTCTACTTACTGCCGAACTATGCCTTATTGTTTTTAACCATTTTCCTTAGCATAATAAAGATGAAATAAACGACGGAAATATTCTTCCAGAACCTGCTGCAGGTCTAAGTTTGAATGCTCAAAACCGATATTTGAAAGCGAAAGTTCGTGTGTTAATGGAAGAAAATCAAAAGCTCAATTCACAAATAAATCATCAAGTCAGTTGTTGACCATTTTTCCTCTGTTTACGTTTTTAGTAATTATCACTTGCTAATAATTCCCCAAAAATAGGGTGTCAGTGCTAAATTTACCATGTGCCTGTACTGAAATAAACTATTGTTTAAATTGTAGTCTTAGTGTATAGTGTGGGTGAACGTAAACCTATGTGAAATTCCGGTTTGTGTGCTATATTTGTTTCCCGACCGATAGCTGCTACCTTGACGTGGTGGTCGGGCTTGCATATCACAATGACCCAACGAGCTATGCTGGTGGAACGCTTGTTCCCTCGAGGTCCTACCATACCAGAAAGGTCTGTTGGGTAGTGGTTAGACGAAAAGCAGTTACCGTCATAGTGTAAATTGCTATACTATGATGGGGGTCTGAGGGCGAAGTCGTACTGCTGCTAGCTGGATGGGGTGTGACAGCAGTAAGGTGTTTCCCTTGGATGACCAGCAGTGCCAAGCTGATGCTGCCTTCTCAGTGGAAGGGGGGGTTAGAAAAGGTCGGCCCCAAAAATAACACACTCCACCACGCCCCACGGTCTGCCGGGCCGGCGGTGTTGGTTCACTTGTCGTTTCCTTTCGCTCATCCGGCCCCAAAAATACAAAAATTCAAAATAATCATACTCAAAAGGCTGGGTGTGACAGGCCTCAAGCAGATGTCCGATGGGCTCTGCGGTCACACAAATCTCTTTCAGGTACCTTAAGAAGAAATAGCCTTCCACGGTGTGGGCAGCCGGGAAGTGTCAACCGCCCTCACAACTCTGTCAGCACCCAAGTTTCTTCTGACTGCTATCCTCCTCCTCCATCATTACCTTCTAATCTTCCTTCACGTCTCTTAATTAATGATGCTGCATCATCTTCAATTTCTCCTACCTCTGCAGCCTTCGACAACGATCTGAGTCCACAGAACAGTGTCCCTGGTCTCCTTAAACCACGCTCCAAATTACATATTGGAGCCTTCAATGTCCGCACCCTCCGTCAAATTGGCCAACAGGCTTCGTTGGCAAAGACTCTAGCAACTCGAGGCATGGATGTGTGCTGTGTTTGTGAGACACGCATACAGGACCCAAGTGTGGTTATTCACCTGACCTCTCCTGACCAATCTGGTGAATCTGCAAAATTCACCCTTCGAGTTTCTGGAGATTCGATAGCTAGCTCTCGTGGTCTTGCAGGTGTAGGTATAGCATTAAGCACCAGGGCAGAAAACTCACTACTAGACTGGATCCCAGTTGATAGTCGCCTCTGCGCTATGAGGCTGAACGGCACAGTGAGAACTAAAAGGAATAGTGAGACTCGCCGTTGTCTCTTTGTAATCTCTGCTTACGCACCCACTGACTGTAGTTCGGATGAAGTGAAGGACGAGTTCTACCATAAACTGTCTAACCTCCTCTCGAAAGCCAAACGTTCGGACGTAGTGGTTGTTGCAGGTGACCTCAACGCACAGGTGGGTAGACTGAGTGAGGCAGAAAGGCACTTAGGTGGCACTTTCGGAATCCCAGCTGAACGTACAGATAACGGTGATCGCCTATTACAACTATGCTCAGATAACCGCCTATTTTTAGCCAGCACAAATTTCAGACATAAAGAAAGGCACTGTCTGACCTGGCGTCCACCGAGCTCGACTCAGCGATGGACACAGATAGACCACATTGCTATTAGTCATCGCTGGAGAGGATCGGTGGAAGACTGCCGCTCCTTCTGGAGTACGTGTTTGGACAGCGATCATGCGTTGGTCCGAGCACGTATATGCCTGCGTCTCAATGGACGTAGAAAAAATTTGGCAACAAAACCACTACGAGTTCTGCTGGACAACGAAAACACCAAAGCCGTGTTCAGTGAGAAGTTGGCTAGGCAGTTATCGGAACAAAAGACTGTCACTCATCCAGAAGAAGCTTGGTGCCATCTTCAGTCTACTGTAAAAGCAGCACTGGAGACTGTAGCCGACTCCAAGATAATGGCTAAAAAGAGCCAGTGGATATCAGCAGCTTCTTCCAAACTAATGGATGCACGTGAATGCATCCCTGCAGGCTCTGAGTACAATGAAGAGCGAGCGCAACTTAAAAATAAACTGACGAAAAGTCTGCGCAACGATCGTGAACAGTGGTGGGCAGCAAAGGCTAAAGAGATGGAAAAGGCAGCGGCGATCGGTAACAGTAGACAGTTATTTAGACTTATTAAGGAGACTGGGGGGAAATGGTCAACAACAGTTAGTGAGGTTATAGCGGAGAAGGACGGATCGGCGATTCACTCGCAGGGAAGGCGACTGGGACGATGGGCAGAACACTTTGAGGAACAGTTTAACTGGCCTCCAGCCACCATTGCGCTGCCCGCTATCCAGTCGGACCCTGAATGGGACATAGAGACAGGTCCCCCAACACTAGAAGAAGTTGAGAAAGCGGTAGGTAGCCTGAAACGGGAAGGGCAGCAGGACCAGACGGACTACCTGCTGAGGTATACAAGAATGGTGGTAGAGTTCTCTTAGTCAGGCTAACGGAAGTGTTAGCCAGTATATGGGAATCAAATACGATCCCCTCCGACTGGTCTAAGTCACTCATCATCCCAGTCTTCAAGAAAGGCGAGAAGTCCTCTTGTGATAACCACAGAGGAATCAGCCTGACAAACATAGTGTCTAAGATCCTAAGTTCTATAATTCTCCGACGCCTGAGTGGAGCTCGGGAACAGCAAGCCCGAGAAAACCAGGCAGGCTTTAGACCTGGCCGTGGATGTATCGACCAAATATTCACACTGCGCCAGGTCCTGGAACATAGGCATGCTTACAGACGCCCGACAATAGCTGTATTTCTCGACCTGAAGGCGGCATTTGACTCCGTTGATCGAGAAGTCTTATGGCAGTGTCTGTCACTGAAAGGCGTGCCTAGTAAGTACATCACCTTATTGAAAGCTCTCTACTCGAACACTTGTGGGCATGTTAGAGCCTATGGTGAGTTGTCCAGGGAGCTATACTCATCAAGTGGTGTCCGTCAAGGATGCCCACTATCCCCATTCTTATTTAATTTTATCATAGATATTCTTATGGAGGTTTCCCTCTCGTCACCTAATTACAAAGACGTTGACCGGACCACAGGTGAATTTTCCTTAGATCTAGAATATGCAGATGACATAGTCCTGTTAGGTGAAGACGCTGACAAGATGCAGAGTCTTCTGAACACTTTGAGTGGGAATTTGAGAATGTTTGGGATGCGATTTTCACCACCCAAATGCAAATTTTTGCTCCAGGACTGGTCTTCAGCGGTACCGCGGTTAACAATAGAGAGTGAAGTGGTTGAGTGTGTTGACCACTTCACTTACCTGGGAAGTAGGATCAACTCGGTGGGTTAGTTGCCGATGAGATTTCTGCACGGATACAAAAGGCTCGATTGGCTTTTGCCAATTTGCGCCACCTATGGCGCCGCCGTGATATTCGTTTGTCTATTAAGGGTCGCGTGTACTGCACAGCAGTCCGCTCTGTTCTACTGTATGGCTGTGAAACATGGCCATTGAAAGTGGAAGACATGAGAAGGTTACAGGTATTTGACCACCGTTGCCTTCGTAGTATAGGACGTATTCCGTGGTGTCACCATGTGAGTAATGCAGAAGTTAGGTGTAGAGTTTTAGGGAGAAGAGGTAAGTCAGTCGACGAGGTTGTGAACCTTCATCGACTGAGATGGTTGGGACACGTACTACGTATGCCTAGTCACCGATTGCCTCGTCACACAATGTTGGCTGAGGTGGGTTCAGGCTGGAAAAAGGCCCGAGGTGGCCAGACTAAAACATGGCACCAATGTATGAAGTCTCTGACTGTTGGTTTAAGCCATGTAGGACGATGCAGACTAGGTGGTTGGGGTCCACGGGACAAGAGGAACCAGTGGTTGGAGACCCTAGGTGATATGGCTCAGAACCGAAGTCAGTGGCGCAGATGTATACACACATTATCCTCATCTTAACAACGCTATACCGAATCTCACTATTTTGTCACTCCTCTTTCCTTTCTTCTCATACTTTATATTTCTTTTGACTGCATTCACTTATCTTCATCCTTCACCTCACTACCTTTTTACTTGATGTGCTGATATGAGGTGTGGCAACTCGGACCGTTACGCAGTAATGCCTGGTCCTATGTTGATAATGATGATGCTATATTTGTTTGTATCATTTGTTATCGGACTACTCGTTGAATAAGTTTGTCAAATAGTTGTAGGAATAATGAGTAGACATACTTTTCCTCGTAAATGAAATTCAAAATCACCTGTAAGTAACCTCTTGTCTTGGTAACTTTATTTCCGTGTATTCAAACAATCGATCCAATGGATTTTCAGAACAAGAATATTAACATATTCCATTAAGCAGTTTGGTGACCATAGAGACTTCGATCTTCCATATTACCGTTTCCGCAGATGTATTCTTACTCATTTAGCGTGTAGAAATGCAAACATTGCAGTTTTAGTATGAAAATAGGCATCACTATAAACTAACGGCACTTCAAGTACGGATGAAATTCAGTAGCACATTGGATGGTTGATTTGCTGCATTTGGAACTGTTTGGCTATATACATTGTAGATTCCTCTAGAGATCCAATCTAGGTTATTGAGATTTCATGGATAGCACGTTACCATTTAACTTCCGAGTTCAAATCCACCAGTTGATATTCTTCAACTGCCTGTAGTTTTTGTATATTAGCGTATTAGTAAGAAAGCTGCTATAGTACTGCATACTAGTCCACCCTACTTTTCGCCACGACTGAATTATACATTTACCTTTCAGTCATTAGATGGAGTTAAGCTCAAATCTTCCTACTGCTTCCCAATCAGCATAATCTACGATAAATTTCGAAACTGACGAAACTGTAACGTTGTGTGATCTAGATGATCGATGTCTTAGTAGGTTTATAATCTTCTTTTGTAAAACAATCAGGCTGATGAGCCTAATTTCCATAACTGTACTTATTGGTAAACTTGCTGCTTCACTAACCAGGTAGTGTTTAGACCGATAGCCTTACTGTCAAGACCCAATTATTCGTGGATTTCTTCTTCATTATGTATAATTCAGTAGTGTGTATTCCATAGCTCTTCTTTCAGAAAAACTCAAGGATAGAAGTGTTTTTGTTATGATCAGCACTTAAGACTGAAAGAAATGGGGTTGGGGTTACTCTCCAGTAACCAATCAATATGCCTAATCCAGTTCTACAGGAGCCCAGTCGCCACCCGAATAGCTCAGCGGTAACGTGTCTGACTGCATCACTGGGTGACGCTGGGTTTGAGTCCTATGTAGGACATCAGTTCCGTAGAGTTTACAGATACATCTTGTTGACAACTGCAGGAAAGCACGAAACCTAGGTCTAGCGCTCTCTGCCGATCGTACCCATCTAACTAACAGTAGTGATTATTTCCCTGTATATTGTCAAGATGTTCTTTGCATACTGCGACAAGTAACTGTGTATTCACTTAAATCCTACGTTTCTGTTGGGTCGAAAATTTTAGTGTGCTAGTACAATATAAAGTCTTGCTAAAACGTTATGAGAATTTAAACTGTAATTTTCATTTAATTTCTTTCTCATGAAGTTCATAGGTCCCCATTATTATTCTTTTCAGAGTGAAGAAACAGTTAGAATGAAAAACCGTATTCAAGAACTGGAAGAAGAACGTAATCGTTTGCACCGGGTTACATCTTCACATTCAAGTCAGTTAGAGAAAATGAAGAAGAGTTTAGGTGAAACGCGAACCCACTGTAATACTCTAGAAACTGAAAAGACTAATTATAAAAAGGTTGGAAATATTCATAGAATGTTCCGCAGTTAAAAAGATATTCTATGTTGTTAACGCTTCAACTAGTTCAGAAATTTCTTGAATAGATAACAAAATTAGTTTAATTTTGAACTGTTTAACTACTTATAAGTAGCTTGTAAATAACCGAGACCTTTCGTAGCATGACTTTCTGTGTTGTTACAAAACAGTGGACTTAATGTAGCCATTATTTCTCGACTGAAATGTAGCTTTCTTATTTATTTCCCTGGACGTTTTCAGTTCTGTCATACGCCCGTTAAATCCGCAGATGCCTTTGTGTGGAAGATTGATCTCATACCACTCTACTTCCAGATCAATAGTTTTGACTGAAGGGTTCATCAGTGGTTTCACTTGTCTAGAACCTTTAGACTAGAGCTAGAACTCCTAGTCTTGTTCACAAATCTTTTGTTGTGTAATATTCCAGTTAGTGAGTTATTTTTATCCTGATGATGAATTGTCTTCTGCATAGTCATGATGTAGTGCGTATTTAAAATTGACGTTGAAAGTTTACTCAACCCTCACGATGATCTGGAACAGTCGTACAAGAATAAACGTGGTGCATTAAGCAGGCAAAGTAATCCTACTACAAATCATAATGAGGCCAGATAGTGGATGTATATTCAAAGCAGAAACATGAGGGGAAATATCAGTAGAGTAAGTAGTCTTTCGAATACATTGCGACTAGTTATTTGTGCTTTGGAAAAAAAATAATAGGGCCACTCACTCGCCTGCATATGATTATGTTCTCGACTATGAGCTACACTTATTGTGTGTAGGTGGAGGAATTTCCGAACCCATAACCATTTGACAGGAAGTCAATTTCTTAAGCTGATGAATTATACCGCAACACTTACATCTACTTAGTTAGGTTTTGTTATAGCAGTTTAAAAATAGATATGTTCCAGTTATTTATGATATACTCATCATCAAGCCTTTCCACTACATTCGATGTGTAATTGACTGGCTTTTATCATTCTTTCGCAGGACTACGATTCAGTTAAACGTAGTTTGGATCAACAAGCCGCTGAAATTAAAACGCTGACGACACGTCTCAACCGTGCAACAGAGGAATCAGATCGTTACAAAGTTGAATTAGAGAAGGTTCGTTCATCGACACGTGAAAGTGTAGAATCCTTGCGTCATAATGTTGATAATTTAATGGCTGAAAATAGACGATTGGAAAAACAAAAGTCTGAGTTAATTGGAGCATTCAAAAAGCAAATGAAGCTGATTGATGTATTACGCAGGCAAAAGGTAAGCATGCAAGAAAGACTCATGACAACCAAAGTATTGCATAAATACTTTACTGGCGCACTTCTAATATATTAGTGATAACATGAAGGTGACTACATAGAATATTGTGACCACACTATAAGTTATATTCACACACAGATTATAATTGATGGTAGTGATTATTATGAAGTTTCAGGCATTCATCTAAAGATAAAATTAAGGAAGTTGCAGTTACCTTTTAGTTTACCTTGATGGTTGTATTACTTGTAAATTGAGACTATAACAGGGTCTCCAACTGTCTTAATTTTAAATCTCGCTGTGTGTTGTCTGGTGTCTTACGCTACGATTTCTCCATGGATGCTAACTTCTTGAACTGCTATTTTCAATGTCACATTGAGTTAAAATAGTATCACATTCGACTGTGTTAGTGAGCACCAAACCATAGCTTATTCTAACCTATTCTTTTAGAATCACAACGTAATTAATGTTGAGATTAGGCTTAAGGTCTTACATAAAGCTGTAGACCGTCACCGCCCTAGTTGATTTGGAGGTGTGTTGCGCATGATGGACCACCTAATACCTCGAAGTGGGATTGGGTTATGAGAAGACTGAGGCAGGGCCAAACCAGGAAATGACACCAGCTGATGCAGTCTCTGACTATCAGTCTGAGCCACGTAGAAAGATGTAAACTGCGTGGTCAGGATTATTGAGATGGTAGTAATGGATGATTGGAGTACATCCAGTGATATGAATGAAGATCTGTTACAATGTTGTCGATTTATACATTATACTTCTTCTTCACAATCGTGAACATTTTTCACTCAACTTATCCTTCTTTGCTTTCATACACGTTCACCTACATTAATGTCATTCTTTTTCTGTTCCCTTCTTCCTTGCATACTGTTATGAAGTGTGACTACTCTAAATAATGCCTTTGTGTGCAAGTTTTCAGGTTGACTTATCTTTTTGTTCATTTCCCTTTCATCTCGCACTTCATCGACCAAGATTATTGTTGTCCTAAATTGATGAATGCTAGGAACTTGGTTTTATCAAGCGTCGTAAGTACATCCCCGAGTCGAAACAGGTTCAAAGTCATATATCAAGCAAGTGAGAAGTGCAAATGAGCGATGGCCACATATGTTGCGGTACATCATGATAATAGCAAAGAGGGTTGCATTAGGCTTTAAGGAGTATATGTCGACGAACAGGATTTTTCGAACTCTTCATGACTTCTTAACACTCACTGATTCACTTCAAAGAGCATGGAAAATGTGAATCTCTCACTTGTTATATTTCACAAGTAGTTTCCGATTACTGTTAGATCTGTCGGCTTCATTATGCACTAGATGAAAATAAAAACTGCGTGTGACAATTGTAGTAGGGTGTTTTGTTGCACTCGAGCAGCCAACGGTAAAGTGTTTTGTGTCCGTTAAATCGTAAGCTGCGTAACATTACAACCAGAAACCCTCATGAATCAGCACTCTTAGATGTTCAGCTAACCTAAAACAAAGCCAACTTCTGTTTGTGTCATTTACATCATAATCAACTAATATCAAGAATGAAGTGAAAGTTCTGACTCAGAAGCTAAAATGAATGCTCTTGAAGATGCAGAGGACTGACGTTCTCATTACTTACTTAGCTTGTAGAAGTCATCGGCGTAAATCTACTGCCGTGTTAATCCAAAATATTGACCGTTTTTATGCTATGTAGATTTTGAGAAAAGTAAAAGCTACTTGTTAACCTATAGTATTTCTCTTGAATGGTAGGTTTCTTGATTAGTTCTTAATTCCTAGCTACATATTCGATCATAGTCACATGTGCTGCACATCATACATCATGTTTCTAAGTATTGTAGTTTTAATCCTGCAGGCTATGTCGTATTAATGCGCAGTGATATACTGAAGTCATAGTTAGTCAAATCTCTGTTTAAGTTGTTTGCTTTGTATCATCAATGAAGATGTTTTCAAGTTAAACAAAACAGTGTTGATACACTAACTCATGGTGGTAAACTGTTAGAAATCATAAATTTGTGTAAGTTTCGTATGATTTTGTAGATAAGGTCATCTTCATATTGCAAAAGCAAAAAAGGTATGTACCGACCTTAGTTACATTTAGCGTTATCTCAGTTTTCATCTGACTTTCAAAGTTTACTAAGCTATGGACAATATCGTCCTACGGCTCGTTTTTACGATGTGCTCGGAGCAGGACTCAATGCTTAAACATCGAGTCCCTAAGCCAATTAACCCACACCACGAGTGGGTTTCTTAATACGTAATTCTGTTCAAGATGGTTATAAAAACTAGGTTGAAACTTTTCTAATAGTCATTTTCATCTTTTTTTGTTATTTCTACCTTGTTCTAACAGATGTTAATCGAAGCTTCAAAGTGTTTGCAAATCACAGAAGAGGAATTTTTGAAGGCTCTAGATTGGTAAAGTTGCTTGATGCAAACAATTCTGCTTCCGAATTTTATGTAATGCACTTTGCATCTGAGAGTTTTTCAGTTTATCACTCTAACTATAACCATATCATATCTATGGACATTTATTGTTTTACTTTCGTTCATTTTAATTTCACGAGTTGTACTGTCCTTGTAGCAGGAAATATATCCTTCATATCGAAAGCATATCTATTGACTTCTTATCTATTGTTGATTATTGCATGTGATCTACATAATATTCCTTATGGTAAGTCTAATATACACGAAGTAATAGTGCATAAAGGTACTTTCATACAAATTCCGCATAAAGTGATGAATAATATCTGTCGGTCGGTTAACTGAATGAATACCTTTGTGTAAACAACTTTCAGTTTGGAGGTTTTTAGGGATTTATTTATTGATATCAGGTGGAGAAAAACTAGTAATCTGGGAGCACTGGATAGCTCTTTCGTCCTAATATGAGACTCCTGAGCAATGTGCACTCATAACCCCACCAGAGATCGAATCCACGACCTTCATGTCCCGTTGCCAGCATGTTACCATTAAGCCACTGGGTCCGAATCCAATGATCCATATTTCCTCTTAGTCAAGTTAACGGAAGTGTTAACCAGTATATGGAAATCAAATATGATCCCCTCCAACTGGTCTAAATCACTGATTATCCCAGTCTCCAAGAAAGGCAAGAGGTCCTCTTGTAATAACCACAGAGGAATCAGCCTGACGAACATAGTATCCAAAATCCTAGGTTCTATAATTCTTCGACGTCTGAGTGGAGCTCGGGAACAGCAAGCGCTAGAAAACCAGACAGGCTTTAGACCTGGCCGTGGATGTATCGACCAAATATTCACACTGCGCCAGGTCTTGGAACATAGGCACGCTTACCGACGCCCGACAATAGCTGTATTTCTGGACTTGAAGTCGGCATTTGACTCCATTGATCGAGAAGTCTTATGGCAATGTTTGTCAGTGAAAGGCGTGCCGAGTAAATACATCACCTTATTGGAAGCTTTCTACTCGAACACTAGTGGGCATGTTAGAGCCTATGACGAGTTGTCTAGGGAGCTACACTCATCGAGTGGTATCCGTCAAGGATGCCCACTATCTCCATTCTTATTTAATTTTATCACAGATATGCTTATGGAGGTTTCCCTCTCGTCACCTGACTACACAGAGGTTGACCCAATCACAGGTGAATTTTCGTTAGATCTAGAATATGCAGATGACATAGTCCTGTTAGGTGAAGAGGCTGACAAGATTCAGAGTCTTCTGAACACTTTGAGTGGGAATTTGAGAATGTTTGGGATGCGGTTTTCAACACCCAAATGCAATTGTTGCTCCAGGATCGGTGTTCAACGGTGCCACGACAAACAGCAGAGAGTGTAGTGGTTGGGTGTGTCGAAGTAGGATCAGCTCTACCCTAGTGGGTTAGTTGCCGATGAGATCTCTGCATGAATACAAAAGGTTCGGCTGTCTTTCGCCAACTCATGCCACCTGTGGCGCCGCCGTTATATCCGATTTTCTATTAAGGGTGGCGTGTACTGCACCTGTACAGCAGTCCGATCTGTTCTACTGTGTGGCTGTGAGACATGGCCATTGAAGGTGGAAGACATGAGAAGGCTGGCTTCAAGTGTTTGGACACCGTTTTCCTCGTAGTATAGGTCGTACTGCGTGGTGTCACCACGTGAGTAAAGCATAAGTCAGACGCAGAGTTTTATGGAGAAGAGGTAAATCAGTTGACGAGTTTGTGAACCTTCATCGGCTGAGATGGTTGGCTCCGACACGTGTCACGTATGCCTAGTCGCCGATTGCCTCGTCACACAATATTGGTCGAAGTAGATCCAGGTTGAAGAAAGGCCTGAGGTGGCCAGACTAGAACATGGCACCAATGTATGAAGTCTCTGACTGTTGGTGTGAAGCGTGTGAGGTGATGTAAACTAGGTGGTTGGGGTCGGTGGTACAAGAGGAACCAGTGGTTGGGGACTCTAGGTGATATGGTTGAGAACCGATGTCAGTGTTGCAGATGTATACACACATTATCCTCATCTTGACGACGCTATACTGAATCTCACCATTTTGTCATTCTTCCTTCCTCTCTTTTCGTACTTAGTATTTCTTGTGACTGAATTATTTTATCTTCATCTTTGACCTCAGTGCCTTTCTACTTGATGTACTGATATGAGTTGTGGCAACTTGGACCGTTACGCAGTAATGCCTAGTCCTGTGTTGATGATGGTCCATATTTCCTACTTCTGTCAGTTCACGATATAACGCAGCCTCCAACCAATGCCGTCGTTGAGTATCTGTGCTCATATCCGATTTGGTTGGCCTCATCGGTCACGACTTCTCACTACAACTTCAAGAATCACCTTTCGTAGCGAGTCACCGATGACCTCTAGGACTTGCGTTTACTTTAGGAACCACTTAAATTTGCATTGTTTTTGAAGTCGAGACTGTTCACGTTTTTGCAGTATATAATATAGTTTTTCATCGGGATAACCAGCAAAAAATCTACCGTGGCTTAGAAGAATACATGTGAATAAGGATTTTGCTGTAACTTGTTTGGTGATGATTAGCACTGGGATTTAGGACCTGTGTTTTGATCTGCTCCGGACTCTTCAACTTGAGATGATTGCATCCTAGCGAAGGATTGTCCTCAATAAAACTTATCGCTTTGTAGACCAGAGGGTTATCCACTAGGCTTGAAAGTCATGAGAGCTACTCCTTGTGCAACGAGTACCAATCGTCATTTATTCACACTTGTGATATCCAGTTGTTATACTGGGTCGAGTCAATCCATCTATTCTGACACGCAGACTCCTCTTGTATGAGTGTCTTGATGTTGCATAGAGATTCATTTTGTCGTAAATTGCTTCTTCATGGCTAGTAGGGAAGCGCAATTAACATTTGATACCGTGTCTCCCTTGCATTATTCGCTCTACGAACCTTGAACAAAGCCATCTTGTAAGCTGTCACAGCTACCGTTTGAAATTAACGCATAGATAAAATCCGATCCTTAAAGACCTGGCTTAAAGTTTAGACAGAAATCACACTATGTGAAGAATAGGACGACATCGATATATTTAATTGGGTCTTCGTCAACTGCATACGTAAATAATCACTAACGTACGTTAAGATATCAGTTGATGTTTTGAAGACCAGACAAACATTACAATCAAGAATTCAAAGAGGTTTCAACTAATAAATTAAACCAAACTAGATACAAGCAAGGGTGAAGAATGTTCACAGATGAGTGAGATAAGATTGGAAATAAGTGGGGACGGTTGCGTAATCATGTGAAAATGTTATCTTAACAAAAGAAGTGGGTGAGATAAAATTATCGTAATAATTACATATACGGTAATAATGAAACGATAAGCGATGTGAATATGGATGGGGATAAGCATAAAATAAAGTCATTACAAAATATTCTGGAAAAGGTGGGAGAATGAGAAGTTACTAATTACTGAAGAAATAAGAAACTGGTGTCACCTTTAGAGTAGTTCACGTTGAACTCGTCGGACAGTTACAACTTCGGCAATTCGACGTAAGCGTGAAGTCTTCCGTCTATTGATTAAGTTGTACCAGCGGGAAGAGAGGTTGTGATGCCCAGAAAAACTCCAAGAAGAATTTCAACATATCTATCAATGTCTGCACAATAGTGTTAATCTGATAAAATTTGTGCAGCAATACTGCAAAAGCAAGGGGTAAAGAGAAAAGTGTTTGACTGAGCACACAACTATAGACGGTTTCGTGTCATGTACGCTTCCTTTATTCAAGTTCAACACACCTTCACGTTTAGTATCCATACATAGCTCGGTCATATTTGTGTAGCCTGGTTTAAATTCTTTTCCTAGGCAGTTTAGATTCCAACCGTCAAATATAGTTCTTTTGATCAGTCAGGCTGGTTTGATTACTGAGAACATGGATGATTTGTAGCATTCTTAGATTGTTATTTACTGTCACCAATTGTTATTCCAGTTCTATATTTTTATGTATAAGTGAAAGCTTTTTTCATTATTATTATTTGTCCCTTGGATTCCTAGTGGAACACGGGGCTTCAGTAGCACGTCTCCACTTCACTCACTTCTCTACAGTCTTTCCAACATGGCTCCATCACTGCCCACAAGCTTTCATTTCTTCCTCACACCATCTCCTACATGTCACCCTTGCCTCGGACGACCAACTCGTCGTTTCCCATACGAGTTCCACTCGAGTGTGTGGCCTGACGCGTGATGTTGTCAGTCGGTCTTCTCAGTGTATGCCCAATCTAATCCATCTACATATTCGTTGGGCGATGGGTTCTTGCTTCGTTGATTCGTTGCCAGTCAGAGTGAGTTCCTTGTTGCTTATTCTTTCTTACTATTCTGGCCTTGTGATCTGATCTTCAGTGTCAGTCTCGAGTGAGTGTAGGCGGCAGCTGTTGATGTGTTGAATGTGTGTAGTTTGTTGGAAATGGTTTTCGTGACGCGCCACCAAATCTGTCAACCATCCATCACATGGAAGCACTGACTTACTTGACTGAATTAGTGTTGAAAATCGGGATGTTGTTCACTCCATATACTGAGTGCAGTAGATGTCCACACTGATTTCAGATTAATGCAGGAAGGCCTGTCTTGCTTTGGCGATCCCCATTTTGACATCCTCATCTGTGCCTGTGGCATCTGTAGTTGAGATGATGTTGTCTTGCCTGGGTAGGTGTAGGTGAAAGAGACTACTTCCTTCAGGTTTTCTCCGTTGATGGTGATTGATGCTTGTTGTTGTTGGTGGTGATGGTGGTTGGGTGTTTTCATCACCTCTGTCTTCTCCACGTTCATCTGAAGGAGGTCCTGTCTTAGCTGCCCTGCCCCTTCTGTCAACTTGTTAGTTTTCGCCTATAGATCTTCGAGTTTGTGCCACAACACACTAGACAAACATAACTCATCATCGGCGACGAAATCCAAATCTCCTTCTGGTGTCTTTTCATCGGTCCAGCCAACGTATGCCCCTCTTCTCGCTCCTCATGGTTTACTGCATGATCCAGTTCAGTTCAGTTCAGTCCAGTAGAGTCGACCCCATTCAGGAAGATCATGGGTGATAGTAGGTGGCAACCTTGTCTTACTCCTGTCTTCACCTCCACTTCAAAGGCGTCACTGAGCTACCATTATGGATCACTTGGCGTGCTATTTGCATATCGGTACTTTCAATTAGTTGGCAAGCATTTCTGATAGCTCTTGCATTGTTATCCTGCCTGATACCTTTGCACTTCGCAGTTCCTTTCATCATAACAATGTAACATATACACAAACAAATTTGTTATCCTTTACTCTGACACACATGAGTATGACACGCATGCGCCAATTTCTTTGAAGAAGTAACTTCTGGAGATATGGTTTACAACTTTGATTTACGCATGGGTATATAATTGTCTTGCTGTGTTTGTATTCGTCTTACTGTAGAAGTTCTTAAGCGAAGAACAACTCTAGCCAATATCTAAATGTACACTAAAGTAAACTTTACGCTTTTTTACTAAAAGTAGGTTTAGTAAAGGTCTATTTATTTTATGATTACCTATCTCTTCCTGTCGTAAAATATTTAGCTTCACTAGAGCCAGTGGATACAGTCTCTGTCGAGCACTTACCAGCATATTACAAACAATAGAACCAAGTTCCTGCAATGAACAATTTTAATTGTGGTTAGTCATATTAACCCGTCTCCGGTATAGCTCAGTAATTTCTTGGCTGGTTAATCGGATAAGCTGTATCAAGTCTTTTTAAAAAATGGAGATAATCAGTCTCACATTATTTGGTGTTTCACCGTTTCACGTGGCATAATTCGAAGGTATGGGTTTGGAATATCCAGTTGTTCTTAATGTGTGCGTTAACTGTTAATTGCAGTAGTTAGGGTGAATAATTCAGTAGTTTACACACTATTTTAATTCTGATTATTTCTAGGTTTTGATAATCTTCAAAAGTATTTATTAATAGTTTTTCAATGCAAGTTTCGACTGAACCCACAATAAAAATGAGTGTTTCGAAAGGTTTTACTCAACACATTTAATCTTCCTTAATTTTTTCTGCAGATTATCTATGTCTGAATCAGAGGTGTTTCGAAATAACCAAGTTGATGCCATACCAAACGTCTTAGGACCAGAAACTCTAATCTATCAAGGAGCAGAAGCCCGAGTCTATCGCACCGAACTGTTTCGTTCATCCTATACCTTTCCATGTATTGTGAAGGAGAGGTTTGTAAAAAGGTACCGCCATAGTACCCTCGATTCAACCCTTTCAATGCAAAGAATGCGAGCTGAAGTCCGACAGTTGTTACGTTGCAGAGAAGTAGGGATAGATGTTCCTCCCATCCTCCTAGTTGATATCAGACGTCGCCGAATTTGGCTGGGTGAAATTGGTCCAAATGCTATCACACTTCAAGAATGGTTTAAAATTTTCTCCTCTCGAGCGGTTGAAACAGAATCGTCGAACAAGGATCTTCAGGCAGAAATAGTTTTACAGCTTCAAAACTTAGCAAAAGCACTAGGCCGGTTGCTTGCTCAGCTACATTCTAATCACATAATTCATGGTGATTTGACTATGGCTAATATTCTTGTTCAGCAGGTAGTTTTTGCATTATTTTCTGTAGAGTTGCTTTTGAAATATCTAAGTTTTTATCTGACTCACTAGTTTTTAAATTAGTTTAGAGACTAGTGAGGATTTATTGATTTGAAGTTGGTATTCTTCACCGACTGACATCTGTTGGAGAAACATCGAAAGCCTAGGAGTACTGGACAGTTGTTTCTTCTTGAAATCGAACTCGTCAGCAATACCCACCTATGACTCGAACGTAGAACCCTCAGGTTTCGCGGCGAGCACTTCACTTTTGAGCCACTGGGTCGGAACGCAATGGTCTACATTGCTCCGAAGTTCTAATGAGAAGTAGTAACCAATAAGGGAAACGAAGTCGAATGTGAGGAGAAATGCTCAACAATAACTCTGTATCGCGAAGTGACAGAAATAGGGAAATTTGAAGCACTGGATTCAGGCTGAATAGCTAAATGACAACGTGCTCGCTGCGAAATCTAAAGGTCCTTTGTCCGTTCCCTGGAGGGTCACAGGCACGCACTGTTTAGAAGTCCCTTACTAGGACGAAACAGATGTCCATTGCTCCCAGGGTTTTCATGCTTCTCCAACTGGTATCAATACGTGGTGAGTACCTACTTTAATTCTTACTATCTTTTAATCTCCACGTGTCCCTAAAAATGAACTACTTTTTACAAAATATTGCAGAAAGTACAGAGATAATTGTTTCACATACTGACGAATCTTCGGTTTACTATTGATCTTTTGCTTAGTGTACTGCTTCATAGTTTTCTTGTTTAAGTAGGTGTTTCAGTAACCTGTTGAGCTAACTAGATGTTTTTTAACGGTAATCGTGCTTGGGCACCACAGTTAACTAATTTAGATGCAAACTGCGCCGCTAATTTTCGGATTTTTATGATTTAATTAATGAATATTTTGGGGGACTTTTTGAATACTTGACCATTTATTTCACGCCAGTTGTTATTTACTTTTAAATTGTATAGCCTTTCACTGTTTTCATCGTTTCAGAAAGATGATTGCAATAAACAGACAACTTTTCGAGTAGTCCCTATCGACTTTGGACTTTCAAGCGCTTCGTCTGGATTAACATCACAGCGTTTAGCAGAGGATAAAGCTGTGGATTTGTATGTGTTTGAAAGAGCTTTAACTTGTGGTCTAGATCATAAAGCTCTGTTAAAAGCTGTTTCGAATTACCCTGACTTAAATACACCGGAATGTTTACTTAATTTAATCATGAATTCTTACCGCGAGAATTATGTTTTAGAACGGTTAGATGAACAACAAACAGACTCTAAACTATCTGTTAATAAAAAGTCAGGCAACAATTTGGATACACGAGAAAATGAAGTAAAGGAAATTTTAGACAGATTAGAAGAAGTTCGACTTCGTGGTCGTAAACGTCTGATGGTTGGATGAATCATATTTTAAAAATTATAATTTCTTATATTTCTGGAAAAATGCAATATTTTTTTAACATGTGCTTTGTTTATTAAAAATTATGTGCTTATGGGAATTGGGATTGATGTTCAAGCAGAAAAGTATGGATTGTAGCAGGATTCTAATCAATTGGTCATGGACTTGTTTCTCTGCTGACTGAGCATACTGACTAAATGTTAACCATGCCTTAGCTTCACTTCTCAGTATATTTTATCCATAAAAGAATGGAACATTCTTAGAGGATGCAAGTACATACTGAGAATATTTGACTGAGGTTTAAATGCACTCCTGATTTTCTTTTACGACACTATTTTAAGAAGCGAAAAACTTATTTATCCTTATCTTATTTCTTACTAGCAGTTAAATAATGAGAGCCGAGGGTGAAAATTGGTGGACTGCTTAAGATTTTGGGCTACTGAAAATATTCCTTTGTATATATTACATCAAATCACTCATTTTGTACTTGTTTTAATTATTTAAACGTCAAGAAATCGTTAAACATACTCTCGTACATTCTTAAAATGTCTCCAACTTATTATCACACAAATTACAAACGAAATCACCAAAAAATAATACGGTAGATGGCAATGGACTTTTCAGTTTTCAACAGTTCATTACATAACTATTATACGGATAGTTAGTAGGAACTGCAAACTATTATCCTGGCTGAATAGTAATCCACCACCAAACCTACATGTGTTTTTCTATTCGCAACAACATATCTACAAACAAGATGACGTTGTGTATTATTGTCTATCATACTGTTATTATTAACATTATTTAACTGCGATAGTTATTTACTTTGAAAGTACTGTACAAGGGATAAATTTGTTGAATTATCGCACTGAGTTAAAAATTACTTGTATTCATCACATGGATTGACATCAATTTGAGAAACATTGAAAACCTGGGTACACTTGACAGCTGTTTCATCCTAGTATAGGACTCCTCAACAGTGCGTACCTTTGATTCCGCTAAGGTGATGATCGTGAAGTGACAGAGGTTGGAAATGTGGACCACTAGATCCCGAATCAGTGGGTCAGTGGTAACGTGGTGACCACGAAACCTGAAGGCCTTTGTTCGATCCCTAGCATGTCGGGATCATGGGTGTACACTGCTGAGGAGTCTCATACTAGGATGAGATGTCTAGTGCTTCCAGGTTTCCAATATTCTTCCAACTGATATCAGTCCACAATGAATACCAACTTGAAAAATCACTAAGTCTCCACAAACCCCCAAATTAAAAATTAGTGTCTGGAATAAGGTGTTTGTTATTGTTACTTGTATGAATCTAAGCATGTTAGTGGCGAAATAATTCCATCGTTTCGTGCGGAATTCGTGTCATTAGTGAAATGCCAGATAGTTTTTGGTTAGTTGAAGTACAGGAAATTGTTCAAAAGAAGTCTTTCATTATCTAGTTGGTGGTTTCCTAAAATGCATTTCAAGGTGTAATAGGTGTCTCCATGCCAATCTAGAGACAAAGTGGATCCTAGTATGTTGGCTGTAGAACTATTCGGTAAAATTGTGAGCAAATGCATCATATTATATTTTACTCTATTTGTCGATTTCCCATACTCCTTTAAGTGTTTGTTTGTTCCGAAGTCGAGGAAATCAGGGATGTGCAGCTCACAATTATTCACGACTTACTGTTACGGTGTACATTGTACTTCCATATCATTTCTGCACTTTTTACTCCTGTTCGTCCCCTTCTCCCCTCCCCTACATGTGATTTAATAAAAGGTAGGGTTCCATATTACCCTGGGGGAAATAAAGTGATCAATTGACCGATCCTATTTTTAGCGCTGGTGTGTTTTCTCGCTTTCGGAAGGTGCTTATAACTTTATTTACCACGTGAATACAAATATTCACGGTTATAGAGAAGAGTACACTTAAATGGTATTTGCAACTGGAATAGTTGTCATTTGCTGGACTACTTTTAGCTGTAGTATATGACTCTGAGCACGACAGTCAAAGACAGCAGTCCAGTTAGTAATATTCGAAACTAGACAAATTTCTCAACTGTGAGAAAAAGCCAATTTTCACCAACAAATATTTCACAAATTGTTTTTAGCTACTCATGAGTAGCAAGACTGTGTATAGACTAATTAGTAGCGAACGTTGTTTCTTGGATTAAGTCGGTTTCGTTAACACAGCCTGCAGTCGAAGAGAAATAATGACTTCCGTCCACTAGTCTAGAAGCGTTACAAACGGCATTTGCTAATTGTATACTTGTTAGTAGCAGTTATCAAGTAAATGCCATTTAGTCGTGTGCATGTAATAATTTTCCTAAAATGATGATTTTCACTTACTCAATGACGAAATTTTTTAAACGGAATGCTAACTTGTTATAATTGACTTGGTTGTGGTTAGCACTGGATTCCAGGATACGCATTTCGTCCTATTTGGGACCGGTCAAGTGGATGGGACGAAACTCTCGTCTTATACGCCACTGATAGTCACAACCAAGCCAGTTATTACAATAAATATTCAAGGAATATCGCGGCATCCTCATATGAGCTTATATGACAACAGAGATAGATCAATTCGATTCAGCATAACAACGGAGAATTACAAGTATCAATAAGTATTAAATTCTAAATTGGTTTAGTTATCTATAAATTTCATACTGATAGTTTATGCAACATGAAAAGGTGAAAAACATACCTGTAAGCCACAAAAGTTCCACTATTCGTATAAAGGTGCTCTGAATACAGTAAATGAACTAGCAGTTTTTGACATTATTCACATGTAGTCTTCACTGGTACATTCTTCACTTATTTTAAGGGACTATGTCAATCGTCAGTTTTTGTCAGACTGGTTGATACTAAGATTCAGTATTTAAGAATGTTTAAATTTTCCATTAATTTAGTTTAGTTGATACACGAAACATCTAAGTAGGCATTATTCAGTAGCTATCTTTTAGACAGGAATGTGTGTTATAGTAATAAAAGTACAAAGAGTTTCGTAACGCCGAAGAAGGGTAGAAAACATGTAACTCAAACAAAACTAAAAATCCATATCTCTTAAGGGTATACCTATCATAAATAAACTTCATTTATTTTCACTTACCTCTCTTTTACTCAAGGGAAACGAAGTTATTTATTGAGCACATGTTTAAGCGAATTTTAAACAATTATCTTGGCAATACCTATTTTGTCTTAACAGATTTATGTTCCAAATACCCTAAGTTATTTACTTGTCTAATACCCACCTTCGATTGTCAGATAGGAATTTGTTCAGCCTTCGTTATAGTGGCATTCTATCGACTTTACTTTGGGCTAGGAGTATGTGTTAAATATTTTGACTCATCTGTTTGAATGTGTAATGCTCCCCTACATATTATTTCTATACATGTATCCATAACTAGGTTGTGATATACTGTATTTGATGTGAAACATGTGCCAATCCATGTAGATATTGAAAAGAAATTTAAAAAATGAAAACTATCAGTAATAAATTCCAGATCAGCTACTTGTTATTTATGATACCTCTTTCACTGGTGAAGCTGAATCATTATTTCGCTTTGACTGTATGTCAAACGGTGAATCTGAATAAACCCAATGTTCTTAATGATCAACATTTAATTGAAAGTTGCTGGTTCTCTCTTTGTAATCTTGCTACTTATGAGTGCCTAAAGTAGTTAGTAAAGTCTTAGTCATTAAAAATTAAATTTTAATATTTAGTCTACAATATAACGTAACTATAAATAGTTTCACGTAGATACTTCGTTATACTGCTATGAAGAGTGTTAGCAACCATTTTTTATATATCTGAAGGTCACTGATTTAATTGATTAGATTCCCAACTATTTGCGGTGTTGTATTAGCCAACCTTTATCAAATAATGCCATTTTTTTCTTCCAATGGTACTTTCATCACTTTCTGAGAGACTTTCTACGGTTGGTGAGTTCCGTTGTTCCTTATGCACGTATGAAATAGCTTCTGAGCAGTACTTTTCGGACTACGTGAAGAAATAAAATTTAGCTTGCAGAAATAACCTCGGAAGTTTTTTTTCCCTTAAACCAAGTTGTTCGGTTGCTAGCATTTCTCTTTCGGGCATATAAACAGTTTTGATTAAACTCTATCGACCATAGACTTGCCAATCATATTGATGTACAAGAATTAGTATCCAGTATCGAAATAATTCGTTGCCTAGTTCTTTATATTTCGCTTCCAAACCTAAATATCATTTCTTGAAGATGTTATGCTTTAGAAAACATACAAATGTGATTTGAACACCTTATATTGCATCCTAGAGTGAGACTCTGATTTGACTCCTTCTATTCCGTCACTATCATTTATATGAAGATTTGTATATGACTATGGAACACCTAATGTTCTTAGAGCTTAGACTTCAAGTTAGGTAACGTTAAAATTGATTACGGAAACTACTCATTATTTTAGGAATTAATTCTGAATAGTGCTTTACGATTATTAGCCAAAGAAATGTCCCTCGTAGCAATTAAATCTCTTACTTTGCTGTAATCAAACTTGCAACCTCCCGACATTACACAGGTCCCAACTGTTCAACCTCTGAAGGTAACATTTTTATATCAACAGGGTGACTAGTACGAACCAGATAGGACAGTACGCAGATTTGTACAGATATTGTCCAACTTCCACATAACCATGACAGATGTTCGGCTATTCAACGAAAAATTTGCCTTATCATAAGATAAGTGCAAATGGATCTGAAGGAACAGCTGAACTAGCAAATGCATACAGAAAACGTGAAGTCAGCAATGGTCAGCTGCAGAAATGCAGCATAAGTTTCGAACATAAAGTGATCTCATAGCATTCATTTGACAATAGACCTGAATTGTATTCTTAACAACAGTGATTTCTCGGAGGCTGTTGGCACTTTGATTTTCATATTAAAAGTACTCGTTTGTCTAGACAAGGACTTTGCGAGATATTCATTACTATCAAGTAGATCACGGACAATCTTAAACTCTCTATAGAAAGTGTTGGCTGAACAAATAACTCATATCCGACGAGTCAAACATTCAACTAAATTTCGTTTTTATGACAAGGATATAA